CCCATTCTCTTCTAAGGTTACCCGAACTTTGTCTTTGACAGTCACCACCACTGGCATAGGCTGGGTTAGGGAGGTACTCATCATGCACAAGTCTATGCTGTTTGGGATAAACACCTCAGGCTTAGGCAGGTGGAAGGGAGTGATGCACATGTTGGGGTCGTACGGGATGGCCATTGTTTGGATAAGGTTCACTTGCCTGGGTGAAGGAGGGGGTTGGTTATAAGACATGAAAGTTATGACCCATTAAACTAATGCATTGGTGGCATATCAAATGATATCCAAAATTTGGTATCTAAATCTAGTCACTGTATCATTACTGTCCAAGAAATGGTTCCAAGGTCGGACCATGCCACATTCTGACTCTTGAACATGAAGAGAATTCATTTTCCCAGCCCATAAACTCCAGAGAGAACCTGACTTCTTGAAGGTCAACAAGCACACAGAAAAGGATCCCCATATATGCCTCAAGTCTTTAGAAATGGATAATTCAAGGTATTGGCCTAAACAACCCAAGTTCTATTAATTTAGAATCTAAACAACCCATGTCTAGAAAAATGAGAACTCCAAGGCCAGAACTAGAGGATAAACAAATTTTTTTCAAATTCAACATGCCACAAGGACAACCGCTTTTAACCATTTAAAGATTATGACCCTTCTATCAAAATTTCACTGGTACAACAACATTATCCTCAATTTACAGGGAAGAAAAGTATGCATTACCTGTGTGTTGTTTTTAACACTCATCATCAGAATAGAAAGATGCCCAGTGCTGGATTCCTCTTCCTCATTCTTGACCTGTCACAGACAGTTTCAAACAAATTTTATATCATAAAAGGAGCATGGAGGCAGAAACTACAGCAAATAAAAAATGTAAACAATAAATTAAAAAGTCTATTTAGCAGGAAGATGAAAAATGATGGGTAGGTCAAATTACACACACACACACACACACACACACATATATATATATATAGCCCTCCACATGCAAAAATATATTGCAGTAATTAAAACAAAATGCTTCCTGCAAATAAAAAATTTAATCAGAAAACACATTCAATACACACTTCACAATAAAACATACATTGACACCCCATCCCCCCTTTTCATTATTTTCTATAAACAAATCAAGTATTATTTAGTCAATAATTCATCAAATCAAAGGCAATATAAACCATATACTTTGGCAAAATCATGCTGCAGGCCTAGTTAAAATTGACCTTCAATTCAAACCTAGTTGAGCACGCATTGGGTTCCCTAAAAAAGTGAAAAACAGAAAGTACAAAGAAGGGGATGACAGAAACATCTTCCTCAAAAACGCAAACACAACATATATCCAAATATCAAGCTTTGTGAACCAATGAGATGGAGTTGGGCGAGCAAGTGCTTGCAAAAATGACTATTCTCAATTGGAAAAAAAAAGGAGTATTGATACATTGCAAGCATAAGGAAAGATGAAAACATTACTGCTACTAGGCAAATAACTGTAAATAAGACGAGTAATCATCTAAGGAATGAAATGGCAAATAATAATAATAAGCAGGACAACTTATAGTGGCATCCTCATCCATTGGATGACTGCAAAAAAACAAAATGCAATTTGTAACTTGCACCCAAGTTAATCATAGAAAAATGATACAGTAACAAAGGTAACACAATTCTCATTCAAAACATAATAGAGCATCCCAAGTACAATAATATATCCTTGTTATGGTCATACATTCTGCCTTTATTTGAAAACAATTTATTTATTTATTTTTTTTTTTTTTCTGTACTTAGCATAAATTACCTTGTAAAACAATGCCATTTTCACATCGAACAACAAATTTCAAGAAAAGGTTGTGCTAACAGCCCTATGATTGTCATTTAAGGTGGAGATAATGAGAAAATAATCAGAATTCCAATTCAAACCACATATTCTTAAAGGAATTTCTATACACTTTTCAAAAGGCACATATTGAAAACCAGATAATACTTCTGAGCTTCATTAAACTAAATTGATATTGACAACTGTAGAGAGAGCTTAAAATCAAAATTAAATGGAGCAATATAGAAATCACTACTGAGTTCTCCAATTAATGTTTATCATCTAAGTAAACCAGAATAAGACAGTAAACTTTACCTGAGTGCAAACCATAGTAAAGGCCTCACACTGAGTAGGGTTCACTTTCCCCTGAAATAGAGCTAAGAAATTAACATGAGCTAAGAAATTAACAAACAGAACCTCATCAACAACCCAATTAAATGAAGAAATTAAACACAAATAAATCTACATGGTCACAGAAATGCCCAAAAACTGAGTAGGAACAAAAAAAAAATGAAATTAGTTTTCTTTATGTACTTACCATTTATGCACGCCATTATTGTGACATTCTACACCCTCAACCTGAGATTAGGAGACGTGGCTGGCCAATAACTGAGCTTACCTCAAAACAAAACCAGTTATGATAAGGAAAGGTCCAAGAATTTAGTACATTCCCATTGTTGGAGCAAGTGCCTATATGCAAAGTCCATCACAAAACTACATATACAAAACGTGGTCGTCAAAATACATGACTGGCCATAAAATCAACATCACTATGTACACTGATGTTACATAATTCACCAAGCAAGGCTAGACGGGTATAAAAATGCTCTAAAAGTTACTGCACAAAAATATGTATGAAGGCCTCCCTCTATCCTTTATCACTTGAAATGGTTAAATACAACCAGGTGAGTCGACACTTAGCGAGTAAAATCATACTAAGGTAGAAATAATAAACATATCCCATATAGTTTATAAAAATAGCATTTGCATTTTCAAGTAAATGTATAGTGGAGATTTTCGTAGAAAGTGAACTTGTAACCATACAAAACATGTTTTCATATACAATGGCCATCACAACGGAAACCAGAGGAGCTGTGTTGACTCGGACTCCTATCAGAGGTTACAAAGAGGCATATGGAGGCCAACAAGTGGCATATGGAGGAGCTGTCTCAAAACGGAGGCTACTAGTATGTTTGCAGTCCCCCAGTAGCTATAATTAACCGTGGATGACATTCAAAATATTTCCAAAACATAATCATGTGATCAAAGAGATACCATGGATTTTATTCCATAAACCAAGTTTCAATGCATGTTCCAAATCATATCTTTGTAACAGCACAATATTAGAAAGAGTTCACATTTTATACGTTCAGTTCTTGTATTTCATAAATGGAGTTTAAGATTGCACGAGGTATAAGATTTCTCATCTTAATTGCTTAATCCGCACATGTTTATCAAATTCTCCCCTTTGTTAGCAATCTCTGCAAGTTACTCAAATCCTACACATAGGATTTACAAATAACTCAGTACACAAAATTATACACATACAAAACACCTGCAAACTCTAACTGGGGATGTGTTTCCCTCACATGCAACTAGACCCACATATTTTACATGCTTCAACTTGACATTTGATTTCTTATGCAAATATAGCCTGCCCAACACTTCTACGAATTACCAGAAATTATTTACTTAAATACAGGGTTATTATATTTTAACCATATAAACAATAAACAAATAACTTACCAACAATTTTATACTTTTCTGATCTTGGAAACTATTTACTCAATTTTTGCACCTAAATTTGTACACAAGTTACTAGACTCATATAGGAATGTCAAAAATTTCATAAAATACCGAGTTTGGTATCTAATTTTAAAAAATCAAAAACCGCAACATAAAAACATTACTTTCAGCATCATCAGCCAAACTGAATACAGCTTGGTTCGCGATTTTTATAAAACTCATTTATACACCTTTCCTTCTGAAAATTTTACACATGCTACTAGACTCGTGGCGGAGCATCACATAAAATTTCATAAAATTCCGATATGTGTAATGAGTTTTCAAAATTCATAACAGATGGTCTCTACACAAAAAAATTTTGCACATTCATGGAAGGTCATTTCAACATATAACTAGGATTTTTATTTACTCAATTCAGCAACCCAACATGTTTACATACAATATATCATCCCAAATTACCATTTGATATCTTGAACTAAAACACTCAATTTTAATACTTAGGCATCCATGTAATCACATATATAAACACATTCATGGATGAACCTTTCTTTCTATGGTTAAATTCTACAAATTTCTTTCATGAACACAAACAGAACCTCATCAACAACCCAATTAAATGAAGAAATTAAACACAAATAAATCTACATGGTCACAGAAATGCCCAAAAACTGAGTAGGAACAAAAAAAAAAATGAAATTGTTACTGAAGAATTGTCCTGGAACGACCCGTGCTTCATCACCAAAAGCAATAATAATTCTGGGGAAAAAAGAGAGTACAAAGTCAATCAACAAACAGAAAAATAAAAAAAGATCTGCATGCCCGGCGACTTCACCGCCTTCTTACATACTCGGGTGATGGCACCTCTTACCCTGGGCGTGGTTTGCACTGTTCTTAAAAAGTAGTAGTGTATATATAATCACACTTTAATTAGAAGGTGTGATTAAAAAATATATAAATAATCACACTTCATGGTTAAAAAATATATATATAATCACACTTATTTAAAAAGTGTGATTAAAAAGTAGTAGTGTATATATAATCACACTTTAATTAGAAGGTGTGATTAAAAAATATATAAATTATCACACTTTAATTAGAATGTGTGGTTAAAAAATATATATATAATCACACTTATTTAAAAAGTGTGATTAAAAAGTAGTAGTGCATATATAATCACACTTTAATTAGAAGGTGTGATTAAAAAATATATAAATAATCACACTTTAATTAAAATGTGTGATTAAAAAATATATATATAATCACACTTGTTTAAAAAGTGTGATTAAAAAGTAATAGTGTATATATAATCACACTTTAATTAGAAAGTGTGATTAAAAAAATATATATATAATCACACTTAATTGAAAAGTGACATAAAACATAAATACTATCACACTCAATCAAATTAAGTGTGATTAAAATATCAATCTAATTTTTTTTATCACACTTCTAATAAAAGTGATATCTTTTTTTTTGTCAAAGTGTGATCTTTAACTATTTTTGTAGTAGTGTTAATTGAGCAAGTTGGGGCACATAATGCCCGGCATAGCTCTCTCCGGTTATGAAGAAGTCTCTGGTTTTGTACTTTGGAAACCTTTCCAACCAGTTGACTAGAAAGGTATAGGAATCAGCTGCAGTTCTAGCATCTCCACTTTTGTCATAATCTGATGTAGTATTTGAGTAAGAAAATCCCACACCAGCCGGTGACTCAAGGAAAAGTATATTCGCCGCTGCATTGCCAAAATGTCATAATTACAAATGATTGTCGCGTACTTTTTAAGAATTTGATTAATGGTTTGGAACAGAAACCTTGAGCATACTCACCATTGTTCCATGCATATTTGTTTTCTGATAGAGTTAATCCATCGCTGTTGACTCGAAATGGTCCGAGCTCCATCATTGCTCCATTGCCAAACGAAGAGCAGCCAGGTCCTAGGGAGCAAATTGATGATATAGTGAGAATGATGACAAAAAGAAATGGTAATACAGATCTGTATTTGATACCAACTTAATCACGGTTTGATGGTAAAACGGTTATTTGAGAGATTTTTCAAACTTGTCGGACTTGAGGAGCCATATTTGATTTGAAATAGCCAAACTAGCACAACTCACCGCTACGCTATGATTGGCTCTAGATTGCCAAAGTTGTTTATTTAAGCCTTTAAATTGCGATTATTGGTGTTTACGAGACTCTTGTTATTACAGGTTCTAGGGAGAGTGAGATGACAAATAATAGAAACACGAGAATCACAAACTAGCTAGAAATCACCTCCATTTAACCACAGCACAAGAGGCTTGCTAGAAGAGTTCTGAGACTCGGCAAAATAGTAAAAGAGTGCTCTGCCAGCGTTGGGATCAACCCTAACATAGCCAGAGTACTGATCAAAGTTAATTCCATTAGGCTGCCCCGGCAAAGATAAAATCTTGTCTGCAGCTTTCAGTCCATCTTGAGGGCCTACATACACCGGTGAATACTCTGTGGCCGTGCTCTCAGTAACATAATTGACTTCCTGCTGTTTCGAAGATTGTTTTACTAAAATTTTCACGAGAGGGTCAAATCCAATTCCTCCATAACTATGGACTAAAGCAACAAGGCATGAATGAGAAAGCAGTAGTAGGATTGCGACTTTGTTCATTGATGCAAAACAGAACCAAATGTTGTTTGATCGATCCAATTATGATGCCTTTTATACAAATTTCTGTGACATATGCTGGAAGTTTTCTTGTTGGACTTTCAACCCCATTGACATTATCTATGCTTTGCACATCTTACAATTTCTTGTTTTTTTTCATTCTTGGTTTTATACCAAGATTCACAAATCATAAGATTTATTTTTAAAATTTTCTCTCACTCTCCGTCTCCATATCGTGCCAAAATGAAGACAATAACAAGAGAGGTGAAGAGTTGGACAAAGAAAGGTTAACTAATAAGCCTGCTTTTTTGGTGAGGTTTAATGATTAAATGTTCTTCAACATCAAAAAACATGTCAGAGACTACTGAATTTTTGGCACCAAACTCATTCAATCTTGTCACCGACATGGTAATCCACTCAGCTAAGATCCATAGCACAACAAAGAGCAAAGTCGATTGATGTGCTTCCATGGAAGATACAACATTATTTTAGAAATTGAACATTTTCTTCAATGGTGTCTCTGCTAGTAAACACTCACCCTTTTCAAACTAATAATCTCAAATTAGCAATCAACAAAATAGATTGACATATATTTAACTTGATTCGAAGCAATTTAATCTTATTTAACACGAATAATAGTAGTAGTTAACAGTCAAATTCACGTGCATTCCAACTTTAGTGCATATTTAATTTCCTGCTAAAAATATTTTAAATAAGGCCAAAGCTTTGCGCGGCTGAAATGTTGGAACTTGATGACCAGCGCCTCGAACTATTGCAAAAGTCAATCCATCATGTACCACTTTATATCCCGCTGGCTGAAACTAAAAAACTTAAAAAAAATAAAAAAAAATAAAAAAAATAAAAAAATTTGAAAATGTGCTCAAACTAAATTAAAAGCATGGAAACATACTTCTCCATCATCGGTCCAAGGATGCCATGGTTTGATCACTTTAAGTTTTAATGCATCAATGGAATATCGAGTGCTAGTCACTGGAACAACTGCATCCACATCACCGCTGTCCATGATATGTTCACATATTTATAGAGTTAGAAATCAAATAATCAAAAAATTAGTGCATTTATGTTGTTCTTTAATTTAAGCTTAGCTTGGAATTTGGAAATGCGATATTACATAGACAATTATTAACCTACTATGAAATAAGAGCTGAATTACCTGTAAATAAGTATACGAAGGCCAGAGGCAATGAGCCTTCTATATATCGGGAACATGGTTGATGGGCTATCATTCCAACCTTCAATCACATTGCTGAGAGAGAGAGAGAGAGAGAGAGAGTATCAATTCAATTGTTTTTTAATGTTTTAGAACAAAGATCAGATTGTACAAAATCAACCAAATTCAGTGTTGAACAGATCCATAAGAAGCATTTTCAAATTGAATTAAAGACAAATTCCATTCATCAAATTGTTTTCTCTTTCCACTCAAACAGTGGGGCTTTTTATTTTATTTAAAGAAGAAGATATTCATAGCAAAGATTGTAAACCTGCAAAGCTGCCATGTATAGGGCAGTTTGGTTCTGTTGGCGTGTAACGCTTCTTGTACTTGAGGAAGATTGAGATAAGCATTAACATAGTCAGATTCACAGGGATCATAATCTCCGGGGCATTTTGGCTTTCTTGGTGACTTTGAGGAATCCAAACAAGTTGGACCGTAGATGTTGTAATAATCTATGTAACCAATTTCTTCGGCTTCTCTTGCAATAAAATCGTTACATTTTTTCGTGTCATTGGGAGTCATTATGCAATGGTTTAGAAGTCCTCGATAAGTTTCATCCGAAATCAATGAATGGCTCCAGGCGTAATCCAATCTTCCTATGTCATCGGTGAGATCATTCATTATCCCATTTCCTATCTATATTATTTACCAGAAAAAATAAAAATAAAAATAAAAATAATTTGTCAAATGCTCAAAAAAATTGTCAACAATGTGTAGCAATGTAGTTCTTCTACTTATGCTAGTTGGGTTGTTTACCATGATTCCTTTAAGTTGGATCATCAAGATAGGGTCCGCCTCTTTGTTTCGCTTTATAATAGTATCAGCTAATTCTGGAATGTAAAATCCTGCAAATTAAGATTGTCTTAACAAAATTAATAATCACATTAGCAAACAAACGAGTAGCTGGGCACCATAAGATATGCATTATGCTGACAGGAGAGAGAGGGGGGTATTTTGGTCCTATTATCCATAATTTCAATAGAAAAAATCCCAAAAGCAGGTGAATAAGATAAATTAATTTCCTGTAAACACAGAAATCTTTCCAAAAATGTGGACACAATGCAGGTCCATCCAACATTGCCAGCACTACATTTTTGTGCACTGATTCTATGAAAAATTACTGTGATAAGTTTAAACGTACCTGCTTAGCTTCTCCAATTATATAGAAGTGCCTAGCCTTGTAATGCGGGGTATCTTTTGAACCAATTAATCAGAAAGGTGTATGCGTCTTGAGCTTCAATAGACAAGTACACGAATGAGACCCTATAATTGAGATTACCGTCTTTGGGCGTGTGGGGAGGCTGTTTTTGTGTGACAACTTACCAGTCCTTTTATCCGCTGTCACTTTGTAATCAGAGGTGGTGTTGGAGTAGGAGAATCCAACGCCTGCCGGGGACTCCACAAACAATATATTCGCAACTGCATCAAAAAAAAAAAAAAATTACGAGCAAAAAATTCAGCTTATTGTAACTAGTCAAGGCATTAACAAGCATCAACGCTCGGGCAATTAAGAAGAAATGAGTTAGGAAACTTGAGAAATTTGGGCATTTTGATCAAAATACGGCTTCACCAACTTTGTTCCATGCATGAGTTCTCTGATAAAGCGTTTTACCGTCAGGATTTACGCCAAAAGGTCCAATCTCTGTCATCGCTCCCATCCCAAGTGATGAACAACCAGGCCCTGGCCAGTATAGAATGTTAACGGAGGATTGTATATATGTTTTAAGTCAAAGTGAAAATATATGCAGTAGCTACAGCTAAATGCTTCTTATATAGTCTTCAACATTGGTGTATATATATCTCACTCGTCCCCGGTTGATTTTTTTCGAGTAATAACACAAACAGAAATGGTTTAATGTGATAGAATTATGGACATGTTAATATTAAAATAAAAACTCATTTTAGATATTTCTTAGTAACAAAACTGCCACTGATACATTATTCTGATGAATGATTCTGTATGAAAATTCTTAAATGGACCACTTCATGAAGGAAAAAAAAAGTTGTGTAAACTTCAATTTTTTGCTAAAATATGAGATTGAAGAAATTGTTAGCTTCCTAGTGTAAGAGGAGTAAATTTGAGCCCACTAAATTAATTAGGCCCAATAGTCCAAGGTTGGTGGGCTCGAATTTATCGCAAGTCCAAGATTGGAGGGCCTGGTTTTATCACCATCAAACGGGCCGAATCGCTCTAAGCCTCGAAAGGGTTCGGATCCACGAACTTAGAACTTATTCGGGCCCGGACTCGAAAGGGTATTGAGCAAGCCTAGAGATCTGAGGCACTCGGGCTTCGAGCAGATTTGATCGCAATCTAGAAGCCGCTCCATTGGTGAGTCCTAGAACACTTGCGGGCTCGGAGCTTTACGGGATCTACGCACCAGAACCATGGGCGTAATGGAGTTCGAACAAAGGACCCGATCCCGAGGACGGTGAGTGGAGATAAATTCACTCTTCGGTTAAACTAGCCTATAGAGAGAATTATTGTAAAAAGGGTTTAAGTACTACTTATTCTTATTCCTTATTTTTGTGAGAGATTTCTGTAAGAGTAAGGCATTTATTGTTGAGTGAGGCTCAATAGATAAGAGTAAGCCCTGTTCCAAATCCACAAGATTGGTGGTGTATTTATTCAATTGATAGTAAAGAAATTCTCAAGGAGGTTCCTTGGGGAGTGGACGTAGGCCTGACGTCCCGAACCACTATAAATCGCAGTGTTTGGTTTTCTCTCCCTATCTCTCTTACTTTTATATTGATAATTATTATTTTGTTTGTTTTTATTAACTAAAATTTTGAATATTGTGTTAATTTTAATATTGTGAAATTTTTAATAACCCAATTCACCCCCCTCTTGGGTTGCCTATCTAGGATAACATATATGAATGTTAATGAATTCTCCTCCAGGGCCGCATGTGAGGGGTTGAGCCGCACGTGCGAAAAGAGAGGTGTTTGGCTGGGTATGTAAAAAATAGAATTCTGTTGTTTTATCTACAGCTGAAGCGGAATATATTGCCGCCACTAGTTGTAGTGCTCAAATACTTTGGATGAAATAACAACTTCTTGATTTCGGACTTCATTGTGATCACATTCTTATTAAATGCGATAACACTAGTGCCATTAATCTTTCAAAAAATCCAATACAACACCCACGCACTAAACACATTAAAATAAGGCATCGATTTTTATGAGATCATGTACTTAAAGATGACATCGAACTCGAATTTGTGCTTACATGTAACGCTTCAACCCTTCACATGTCATCGATATTGTCCGTTTTGGGCCACGCTCGCACAAATTTGTTCTTCCTAGTGGGTCACCCATCGCAAAACTACTCTAACCTAAGCACGCTTAACTGCGAAGTTCTATTAGGGATTTCACTACCCAGGAAAAGGCCTCGATGTTATATGAGAGGGAGATTTTATGAGCTGAAATGGGCCATGGAAAAGGCCGGGCAAGTTGAGTACCAAACATGTTTGGGCCATGGTATCTTGGGCTTGTCCGGAGAGGTTTTGCTTGGTTAAGGCACAGGGCCACGTTGGGCCGAGCTACTTGGGCTCATTTGCGTGGAAACCGGGCTACCTAAAGTTGCTCGGCTGAGATGACTGCCCATCATTCCAGATTCCACGGTTCGTGCGTTCAGTTCGGCGAGACGGCCTACAGCTAACCGACCCAACCTGCATCGAGTTCGGCTTGCTGGAATGCAAGCAATCTCGGTCGTTTTGGGGCTCAGCGAGTGGATCGCTCAAATATGCCGCGGTAGCGCAGTCATAAGAAGCCGAG